TTTTCTTTTTACATTTATCATCCAATTAGGTTGAAATGACAGTGTGTAGTAAAACATTTTATGTACTACAGATTTCCATAATGCTGTTTTCACTTTGTAGAAAGGAAAAGTCCTCAAACATCTTGATGAGCTCAATTTAAAGACTTTTAACAGCTCTTTATTTTAAAAAAAAATCAAACAATATGATCAATTATCTATGTAAAACTAGTGTCTGCTAAAAATCACTTAAATGAGGAGCTTGTTGTAGTACTCCATCTGTCAGGTTACGTATAATTTTGTTAAAGCCCCACAGCTGCATAAAATCCTCCATGTTCTGTGTGGCTCTTTGGAGGCTAAACTCCAGCTTTATTCTGACTTTAACGTTGCACCTCCACAGAGCCACAGCATCAAGGTGAGGTCCCTCCTGCTGGGTCTTTGCGGGACAAGTAAAAGGCCATCTTTGCTTTGCTGAGTAAAAAAATTAAAATGTCAGGCCTTTGGCCTGTTGTTTTTATTTTGGCATTTTAAAAAATGTTCTAAAAAGACTAAAAACGCTTATTAAAAAGCTAAAAAAGGTATCTAGTCTTGTGCATTCCATAAAAACATGGAATACATTTTCAGATAGAGTACAGAAAGGACACTCATTTAAAACACCCTGATTTATAAGATAAGGGATAAAAGCGAGCTTGTGGCGATGGCACCATGTAAAACCCTCCAATAGAGATTACCAGTTTGTTTTTTAATTGGAGGCATGTATAAAGTCTTCAACTGGGGTGCTTTTTCCCCCCCTGTCCAGATGCAGACTGGCCTGTTTTGGAGATGTCTTTGGTTAATGACTTTTGTGCAGCTGTAGTAAAGGGCTTTCTAGTCCATTTTCAGTAAAACCATTTTGAGTGGGTCCAGGCTGGAGTGTAGAGGTTTGCTTTGTTAAGGGAAGCAAGGATCCAGGATTTGGTTGAAAGCATAGAAAGAAAATATAAACCAAGCAAGCCATAATTTGGAGGTCAATGAAGGGAAATAATGTTTTGATCATGGAGCTCTGGCTCCACCAGACTCGTTATATGCTTGTTTTGCATACAGATTCATTATTCATTCAGTTTCCAATACTTATCAAAAGGTGGCATGGATTATGCACACCTGTACACAGAATGGGATATTGAATAATCATTTGAGTTTATGATGTCCAAAATGAAATGTCTCCATGATAACCTTAACTGCTCTTATCTCAGGTCCACTCCAAGTACAGAAGGACTGGCGCAAGCTTCACCAAAGCTCAGCAGGAGTTTTCCCAAGGAGTTCTGACCAACCGCACCTTCCAGAGCGCTGCAGCCAGCGCTGCCACCTCTGCTGCCCAGGGAGCCTTTGGCACTAACCAAGAAAACTAAACTGCTCCAGAAATGCCTGCAAAGGTTTCAAAATCATACAGAAATTTGCCAAAATCCAAAAAGAAACTTCCTACAGAAATCGGCTTTATAAACTGTATAGCTACATTTTCTTAAATGCTGTATTGCAAATAACATTTTCGGACCATGTACAGATAAAAACAAGAAGTTATGGTGATGAAGTCAGTGCCTTGAACGCGGCTCAGTTGTTTCCAACTTTAGACTTCATTTATTAATGTGCAATATGTTGGAATTTGCAACCATCTGAAATCATAAAATGCTCCAGGAAAACAGAGGCTGATTTAAAAGAAAATATGTTTTATGTAAATCTAGAAAGCTTGGTTTAGAAGCAGTGTAATAAAGCCTTAAGAACAAATGTACACGCAATAGGGTAGAATTATTATTGAATATTAAGGTACACCGCATAGTATGCCTATAAAGCAATATAATTCTGTTATAGGACCAAGTTTTTCTGACTCTTCTGTTACCTTTTTTTTTTTCTTTTTTCCAAGCTTGATGCTTTTATGTATGTAGGACACATGAACCAATGACTAATGAAGGTGAAGGGATGAAGGTCTGTCTTTGTAATTGGACTTTTGATGGAATGTCTCTAAACGAAGATGGGATTTTTTTGGGTGGGTGGGGAGCTGCTACGTTTTTATTTCATACTATGTTGTGAAGGAATATCTATATATTTTGTTTTAACTGAACTTTGCTGTGATTACAAAGTAATACATTGAGGTTTGGTACAGATCTACTGATAATTATTGGATATAGGTGCATTAATGAGCGGAAAGAACAGAATACTTGCAGCGCACATAAATGCAGCTAGTTATTTGATGGGTTTAGAATTTATAAGACCTGTCCTGTAAATATATATATAACTGACAACTTCTATATTTATGGTACCATAACACTGAATCACATTTTTTAGGCACCTTTTTTGTCTAGTCATAATCTTATTGGTTTTGTGTTACAGTTAAAACCCTTTAAAATGATTGTATGTGTATGAAAAGGGCTGTCTTTGGTGTTTCTCATTGATATATGCATTATAACGTGTTTGTAAATATGTTTATTTAAGCTGTACTTAGTGGATGGGTATTTGAAGGGAAACGGCCCAGTCTTAACAAGCATTAAAAGTGTGGATTCAAACTGTCTTTAAAGACTTTTTCTTTACATGCTATGGACTGCTGCAAGTGATGAGTTAAAGGGGGAAGGTTATTGTGTGCCAGTTACAGTATACAGAAAGTTAAACCATTTGTTTATTAATAAGTCCAGTGTAGATATATGGTAAACCATAACCAATAATTAAGGGGCTTTAGTTAATAACTAAGGGTGATGCCAGAGTAGCTGTAGTAGAGTAGGTGATGTGGAGCGTTCTGCAGGTCTATACTGTGAAGCATAACCCGTACATAAGTTATTTCATAATTACCGTTATAAATATTGTAGTTTGTTTTGAGCATGACAACATAATTGGAAAAATATATGATCATATTTCACACTTTTCACAGCATTATAGCTTCAATTTATGTTTGACATTAGGTAGGTAGAAGCATAGCAGTTTTACATCTTGACCCAATATCTATCTCAAAAGCTTTTGATGGAAACATGGGTTGACCCAATATGCTTTTTAAATATTTAGCATGGTCTATAACTTATTAAAAAAGTTCAGCTGACATCCCAGCCAAAAGAAGCATTGTGCAACATTTTGGACTCGAATTTCAACTTTCAATAACCTACAATACGGCAATTGAGTTGATCGCTTCCCGCTATCATTGCGACCCCAATCCCTATACAGGAGAGCAGAAGACTTCGCCCATTCAGCCAGGCCAACAATTCTCTTAAATGACCCCCCTTTCAGAGACATAGACAGGTATAGGCCTTTGCAGGCTAACAAAAGAAGCCAAACGACCCCCATTCCAATGGGGTGGACATGTTTGTCCATTTTAATTTGCATGTTTTCAAAAAAAAAAAAAAAGATTTTGATGGACTGCTGTATAAAACCTCCAACTCAACGCTATTCCTGATATTTTGAATTGAAAAAGCTTCCTGGATGGGAAGTGAAATGTCTTCAAACTTGGAAACATGGTCCAGTGGATTGTTTAAAAAAAAAAAAAATTTGGGAATGACTATGACCTTGATGACTGAGAATCTTCACCAGCATTGTGAAACAGAATAAAACATTTCCTATGAGTAGGTTAGGTCCTCCAAATGGAGGTTGACAGGCAGTTTAAGGGTTAAATGAATGCTGTTTTAATGAATTGTGTTTTTTAAACTAGGTGATGTTGGAACATCCCTGCATTTCTGCATGCTGACTCTTCTAAAGTCTCACTCTGCAGATAGGAATAGAAAAAAGGTTTAGATCGATGTTCTCACAGCAAATTTGAAGATAACTTCGGTAAAAATGATAGCCTCCCACCTCCTTGAAAACACTGTTTATAGTTTCTGAAACTGCAAACTGAGTTTCTGAAACTTTTCAAATCAGTGTTTTATTCAACCAGATTTTTAAACTTTGTGGGGTTTGACCTCTAAAAAAGCAAAAAGCAAAAAAAAAAACATATTTTGTATGTTCAATAGCCCAGAATGTATTTATTCTTATCCCCCTGTTAGTTTTCCACAAGGGTTATTTAAAAAGTCAATTACATTATACTTAAATCCCTTAATAAAAAACGTATATTTACTAGATTAAGACTAATTTGCCCATTCAAGTGCTGAGACTAATATAGTATACAGAAAAATACCCTTTTTTTTCCCTCAGTTTTTTTTTAAGAACATACGTGAACAATATAGAACATTAGTAATTACAAAACTATACGACAACAAAGGGCTTTACAGAACAGAACTATTATTTTAATAGTTTAATGGGCGACAGTGGCGTTGGATGTAGGAGTTTGCCCTGAGATCGAAGGGCTGACGGTTTCATTGTCGTCGTGTCCTTGGGCAAGACACTTCACCTGCATTGTATACTGATGGTGGTCAGAGGGCCTGGTGGCGCCAGTGTACGGCAGCCCCGCTTCTGTCAGTGAGCCCCAGGGCAGCTGTGGCTACAATGTAGCTTGCCACCATCAGTGTGTGAGTGTGTGCGTAAATGGGTGAATGAATGTAGTGTAAGCGCTTTGGTCAAGTGTTCTGACTTAAAAAAAGGCACTATATAAGTACATGCCATTTACCATTTAAAATGTCAAAATCAAACCTAATCTATGCTCGATACTTCTTTAAGGGAAGTTATAATTTGCATGGCTTTAGCATTTGAACAAAATTTTAAGAATTCTATATAGAAAATTTATAAATTAGGTTTTTGTTGTAAATATTTAGAGGTGTAAATATGATATTGACCATAAATAATAATAAAGAATTATATAAAAATTATGTTTTGACAAGTTCACATTTCTCCATTCCAAACCAAATATCCTTATCTGTTAAAGTAATGTTAAGATTTTTTTGATGAAAAAAAAAATTGACATATCTCTCCAGAATATTTTGGTATAATTAAATCCAATTATTTTTACAAAAAGTACACATTAAGTCCAAATACCATTTATATCTTTTTATCAAAAAGTTTTAACAGGATAAACATTATGAATAATTTTATAAGCGTCTTTCACAGTTACAGACGTCATCACGCACGGCCCCCCTTAACGTACATTCGTAACCATAGCAACGGCTTATGCTCGCCTCAAGATGGCGGACGAAGAGAATGCAACGCTGGTGAGTGCCTACAATAAACAGTTTCCTTTTTGCTGGGTGAACAATGTCACTGAAGCAGTTTCATGGGGAGACGCGTCTTTAATAAAACAGCATCTTTATATAAGAACTGACTGTCATGGCGTCTGTTTAAACGCTTGTTTGTTAGCGGGGCTGCTAACATAAGTCGGAGCTTGGAGGAAGGTAAAGCTGTAACTTTCAAATCCTTTCCATTCATCTCATTAAAGAGCTCCAACCTAAAGAGTGTTTTTCAGAAACTAAAGCAAAGTGCGCGTCGTTTAATATAACTGTCTGTGTTTAACAGGCGTTATAGAAAATAAGGCATAATGACGTGCTTTCAAGAACCTCCACCATTGCGTTCAAAACGTTTCGTGAGCTTTAAAAATAATGACTTTAAATAATTGGATTGCGCATGCGTATTTGATATGTGCGGGCACTTTATTGGCCTGGTTATCCTTCATTCTATCTAATAAAGTTTACATCTTAATGACAACATTAATAACTGCTTTACTGTCAGATTACAGCTTTCCACTGGCAGCTCATTTTATCCCAAACCTTACAAACTAAATATAAAGCATGTTCTATACAACATTAAATTATAGAAATGTTTTCATTTTATTAATTTCACTGCAATAAATTAGTAGTGGTTCATCAATAGTTTTTCTATTCTTTTTTTCTTCAGTCATCATGCTGTGTTTCTACAAATCCTCCAAAACATTTGATTGGATTTGGGGGAGTTTTGCACCCTAATGCTGAATATATTGAACCGGTTTTAATATTTATTATAGTTATAAACGGGTTGTTTACATTAGTGTTGCACTGATACCAATACCAGTATCGGACTGGGCCCTGATACTGCACTAAAATGGTGGTATCAGTATCAGCCAAAAGTTTATTCAAAAGTTCTACTGGATTCGCTTTGTTTTAAGGCCAAATAATGCTTCTGATGCATAGCCTCTGCAGCCGTCAAATCTGTCTCTGTGCACGAACGAATCCCCCCCCCCCAACACACACGTAGAGGTTCTGCAACGTTGTCGCGCACCTTAAAGAAATAATCCTGACTACACGTCGGACGATCGCAAACCCGCGCAGACCTTAAGTGGAAGTGCGCAGACAAAAAGCAACAGTGATTGGTCCCTGGTATGCCTTTCAGACTGTCTGTTTGGTCTTTCTTCTCGATTCGGTGCCAGGTGTGCCATTTTTAAACACCGAGGAACAACAACAATGGACAACTATGACGAAAGGTTAATCGTCTTTTTGTCAACTCCATTAACAGAACCTGTTCCTCTTCGATGTCTAGCAACTCTAGATCAATCTCCATGGCCATGATATCTTGCAGACGCACCATTGTTGTTTTGATGACTCCCGCTGGCGCCGCCAAAGTTCTCGTGACCATCCGCAGAACTTCTAGCGAGTTCTCTAATAGGCTCCCCCTTGTGCATTGGCGGGAAACTGCTGTGCGTCCCTAGAAATTCCAGACCGATGGTGCAGAAGCATACCAGCAAAACTGGTTAGCAACCAGACCCAAGCGACATTTGATGTGTGCGGTTGCAGAAGTCTAATCTGCCCTTTAGTCTTTCTCATGCTTCACAAAGGTAGGCAGCAGACAAAGCCATGATGGTAAATATTTTGCATCCAAGTAGTATGCAGTTCTTCATATATATACACACATCTATTTCAAACAGATTGTATCGGTATGGTATTGGCCGATACTGCATCGGTATCGGGGCCAAAAAATGGCATCGGCGCAACACTAGTTTACATAGATTAAAGACACAAAAGTGTCTGATAAGGTTTTTTTTTATCACGTAATACATGTATTTAGCTTATTTATACTTAATTTTTTGTGATCTATTGTGGCATGTTGGCCTCCCCCAGTGCAGTGGATTTAGTCTTCCAATGCTTACTTTATAAACTCATAATGATATATTAATAGACCTTTTTTTAAGAGTCAGAGAAATGTTTTGAAATCTTTTGAAAAGATCAACCTTATATTGAGGGTGTTTTTCTCACACCAGGTTGCTTAAACATAGAAATCTAGAAGTTAGAATAAAGCTTTAAAAACAAAACTAGCATCTCTGGGATCCCAAGTTGATCCCGACAGAAGGCCACCCACACTGAGCCTGGTTCTGTTGGGTTTTTTTTCCCCTGTTAAAAGGGAGCTTTCCACCCTACTGTCGCTGCGTGCATGCTTAGTGAGAGGAATTGCAGAAGAGTCAATGACAACATTCAAGGGAAAATCATTGCTGCAAGCTCATCCAGGTGAAGCATAACTTGCAAGTCTGAGAAACTTTTAACCTATCTGACCGTATTTTCTCTGTAAAGTGCCTTGAGATGACATATTGTGAAATGGTGCTATAAACTGAATTAAAGTTGAATTGAACTGGGGATAGATAATGAAAATAAATTTCTTTTAAAAAAGGTTAGAGAAGAATCTAAGAACAGAAAGAAAACTCTAGGTATTAGTGCAAATCTTTGGTGAGGTCGACTTTTTTTATCATCCTCTCAGAAGATAAAAATATCAAATAAATCAGGGGAGGTGAAGATTACTTTTCTCATGTTATGCATTAATCATAAACCTGAACTGCTGATTAACATTGAGTTTAATAAATAAGATTTATTGTTCCTTTGATTCCTTTAGTTGGATCTGATTCATTACTTCATGAAAGTTTGAATATGCCTTCCAGTGATCCTATCGTAGTTTATATTCACCTGTTTTTGTTTTGTTTATAGCAGAATCCTGTTCCTACTGAAGCCAAGAAGCGCCGTGCACCTAAAGGTACCACCACACTGCATTTGTGTCCCTTTTGTTTTGCCGTCCATACTGTGTCTGTTTAAAACTGCTAGCACCTGATAAGCCTGCAGAGGTCCCCCTCGCTCTTTGGTTTGTCTTCTGTGCACTGTGCTTCGAAGCCATGTTGGATATATTACTGCATAAGGAGAGTTTCTGCAAATATATTGTAGTTTTTTATCATTTTAATTTCTCCAGTATTGCAACTTGCCCATCTTGTATCAATCATGTCATTTTGAGTTGTTCCATAGAGTTTGGCTTAGCAATCTTCATTTGTTTATGTTATATTTAAAGCTGTTAACTGCTTACTTCATTATAGTGTTTTCCCTGCAACTGATGTTGAGAGCAGTCCCATGGTGATTTTTAGATATTTTTAGGGACAAATGTAAACAAAGCTTGTTTTACACATTTTACATTTATCATTAATAGGATTGCAACTATTGATTATTTTGCAAAGCGATTAATTTGTCAGTTATTTTTTCAATTGATCAATTAATAATCAGATAGCCAAAGGTTCCTTAAATGAGATTTTTTTACAAAATTAAACCAGTTGAAACTAAAACGTTTCATCTAGAGGAGTTCTGGATAGAGCATATTGACAGACGAAAATTGTTTTTTATCTTAAATGCAAAATGTTCATATATTTTTTACAATTTTGACATAATTGCTGCTCTAAGTTGGTCATTCTGTCAGCTAAAGGCATGTTTTACAGTCTATACTCCATTTAACAATTAATCGGTTACTGAATTAGTTTACAATTATTTCAATAAATGATTAATCCGATTAATTGTCTCAGCCCTAATCATTAACAAATACATATGAAATCACATATTATGTACCTCTGATCGATTGGAAATCACATCTTGGTATGTTCTTGCACCTAGCAGTCCTGCAGATGAGTTGTTGAAAATCAAACTGGTCATCAGAATAGAGATTGAAGTGAGTGGGTGAGTTGGACATGGAGTATTTTAGAAAATGCTGATTTCCTTGGGTTTTCATGTTCAATCACCTCTTGAGTTTAAAGACAAATGCCTGAGAAGGTGAAAGTGTCTGGGAAGCTGCTGGTCTGAAGTGGAAAATGTCTCGTTGAAGCTATGGGAAGACTGGTTTGAGATGAAAGACGGGCAGCATCAAATCCAAGAAACACTTGTAGAAATTCACAAAAAGTCAAACTACAGTAGAAAGGCCACACATCAGTTGGGTGTTGTTAAAAACACTACAGTGTTATTACTGAGCTGTCCATCTCTTTAAAGCAGCAGTTTTTTCTCATCCTTTGATGTCTTCTTCCTCCTGGTTAAGACGTCACTCAGCTCAGATCATGGCAGTCATCGTACTCCAGTGGCCTCCAAAGTCATTAGTCTTCCTTCAGATTGTCTTTGGTTCTTAAAATGAGGATCAGAACTTTTCTGCTTAATAAAGTTTAGGATATAAATAGAAAATTCAAAAAATGTAATTTATTTAAATAACTGAGTAATATTAGCATAGCTTTCACTGTGTTTGATTAAGATTTGTGATTTAAATAATGTAGTAAGCAGATGGTGTCTATAAAGGCCCTATTCCTGGAGCAGAACCTAAGACAACAGTATGAAGCAACTAAGACAATTTATAATACAATTACAAAACTATAAGAATCTAAATGGAAAATTGTATAACTGCAAATAAAAAAACATTTTTATGTATTTTTCATCTCACTTGAAGTTCTGTCCTCAGTTTTCTTAAAACTGTAAAATGCATAGACATATTTAATTCTATGACTAGATATATATGAATAACGTAAAAAAAATTTTTAAATCCAGCATTATGTGGATCAACTAAACCCCTGAGGACCTCATAACCACTTCATTCTTCTTTCTTTTACTATTAGGGCTCGCCAGTTCTGCTAAACTTATATTATTGTTTTTTTTTTCTTCCCTTTTTCCTAGGTTTTACAACCATATTCTGTCAACACCACAACTGACAATTTTCTACATTTAAATTAAATTAAATAAAAAATAATTGCTCCATGTTTGTGTATAGGAAGTATTTTTTCAAATCTTACTAGATCTTACCAAAGTGGACAATTAACAATTTTTGTTGTATTTTACATAAATGGCATTACTTCACATGCATCAAAGAATTATTTTAAAATATGTTTCTGTTTGCTTGAAATTGAATATGAATATGATCTTTTTTACTTTTGACAATAATATTTTATTAATTTTAATGGAAAATACATTAAAATCATTATTATTCAATAATAACTACCGGTATTTGGCTTTTCAAGTATTTTCTCCATTTAGATTGAAATCTTTTACTGCAAAGTTCATCACCACAGTCAGTTCTGTCACCTCTGTCTGAGTTTACATCAACTCCGTCAGATGGACATTTTGTTTTTGTTGTCCAACATACTCAGACGTTGGACCTTTTTAAGAGTCCAGGGAGTGAATGAGCAGTGATATGGGACTTAATGTTCCCAAAAGTGCAAATTGGAACATTTAACCACTCCCAGTGTATATAGTGAGCCCCAGTGAGTTTCAACTCTTTTTAATTTTGACCAGCAGATGCTGCAGCTGGTCCAGTTTTAAGTCGGATGACTGAGTAAATATGGAGCAGCCATAGATGTATAGGGATGTGATTATTAGTGCTGTTTCACCATTTAAAATAAAACAGTGATAACTTTAGTTTGCAATAAAACCATTTTAAAACAGAAGGTTTCATATACTAATTCAGTGTAATCATTAAAATATTTAATTGGGCCCTTATTTATTACACAATCTTCTGATTACACTTAAATTAAGCTTTTGAGTTTAGGTAATTATTACCTTCAGTAATTAGTCAAAAATCTAAATCCTAAAAAGAATTTCAAAAAAACAACAAAGCCCATTTTAATTGTGTCCATGGATACCGAAAGTTATTCTATAATTACTATCATGAAATGCGATTAGAATAATTTAATGCAGGCACAAAGTTAATTATGCTGTGCACAACAAGAGCTTTATGGTCTATTATTAGGTTATCTGCAGTGCAGCTCAGCATCTTTCCTGGTTAAAGCCCTGAAGGTGCAAACATGACTGTTTCTGTTGCAGCATGTATCAGCAACGTAAGATTAGATGAAATGACTCAACATGATGAGGGGATTTTTTGAAGTTTTCTAGGGTAAAACTTTCCAAATAATTATCAAGTTTTTTTCTCTTCCTATAATCTCCCCATGTGTCCTTTGATCTCAGCATGCCTCTACTTTTGCTCTTATCCCCATTTAACACATGGTGTAATGTTGGTTGAGACTCTAAGACATGGCTGAAACACAAGCTAGGCAAAGCTGTCTTAGCATTAACCAGATCCAATACAACAATGCCGTAATTCTTTTATGTTTGGGATAAAGTTTTTTGGGTTTTTTTTTCTCCCCTCCGCACAGCTATACATGGAACACCACATGCTGGGCTTTTCTTGTATCCCCCTGTAGTTGTGTGTCAGATATTCCGGAGCCTCTCTTCTCCAAATCTCACTTGCCGTTTTGAATTCAGACACAGGAGCATCACAGGAGGAGGCCACAATTCTATTCACTGCAAAAACGATCTAGAAATAAGTCAACATTTCTTGAATTAAGTGTATTAACCCCTAATTTGAGTAGGTAAATAAGATGATCTGCCAATGGAATGAGTACTTTTTACTATTAGAATAAGGTTATTAGATAATATGCACTCGAAATAAGATAATGCAATTATTTTTTTCTTATTTTGAATGTGCACTGCAAAAACAAATTAGGAATAAGTCAACATTTCTTAAATTAAGTTTATTTGCCTTTAATTTGAGTAGGTAAATGGGACAATCTGCCAATGGAATTAGTATTTTTACTGTTAAAATAAGATAATTAGATAATATGCACTTAAAATAAGAAAATGTAATTGTTTTTTCTTAGTCTAAATGTAAATAGTCGTATTCCATTGGCAAAGTGTCTCATTTTCCTCCTCAATTCAAGAACAAATGCACTTATTTCAAGAAAAAATAACTTATTTAGCTTTCTATTTTTTCTAGTGTTGCTCCCTCAGCAGGAAGAAAGCAGATCTGGTCTCAGCAAATGAGACTGTTTCGAATCTTGATGTGTTGAATGCGTGAAACCCGTCCAGTTTTACGCTCACCGGCAGAGAGGATTTCCGTGAAGCATTTAGAAACAATCCTGTTCCTTCAGCAGGTCATCAGTGTTTAGCTTGAAGCACTAGCAGATGTAAACAGAGGTTCTTGGGTGTGATTCACACTCTCTGTACTTTAATGACACCCCTCCTTCTCTAAAATGTCACTGACAGACTTAAAGCTCACTTTATTCTACATTGCATTGAATTCTATTTTTAGCTCTTCAGGGAAAGGTTGGTACGAGATAACAGGATTACAGGAATCAAACTTGCTTCGCCTGGAATTACATTTTCCGTTCCTTGTAAAATGAAATGCTCTTTGCTGGGAGGAGAACTCGCAGCTTTGTGTTTTGGTTCTTGAGGTTCCTTAACCCTTTTCTAAAGCCCTACATTGTGCCGCTCATTCCCTCAGCCTCCCACTTTCATTCAATCTCCGCACACTCTCCGTTCTCTGTCACAAGCACCTGGCTTCCCAGAGACAGTGTTACCCTGGCAACAAGAAGAATATCTCAACCTGACAAGATGTTAAAAAGAAAGATGGAGGAGGAGGAGGGGGACTAAAGCAAGTGTTTTTAGGTAAAACTTGCTTGCAAGGTGACATTTACAGCCCGGCTGGTGAATTGATTAAAGTTTAGCCCTGGGTTGGTTCAAGTCTTAACAGCTTGGTTAACTGTCGCATCAAAGACGTGCAAGAGTCTGCAAAGGTAGGGCTCTTCCTAGATAATTTGAACACTTGTCGAAGTCTATATATGTGTGTGTGTATCCATGTATATATGAAGGACTGGATACATACGCAGACGTAACCATTTACAGTCTGAGCCATCTGTTCTGAAGTGAAATCTAGCTAACAAGCAAATATTTCCAGTGTGTCAGGTAAATTGAAGCAAATCCAAGCTTGTGGATTGAGGTTGCAGTAGAACATCTGTGCTCACTGTCAGATCACACACTTTTTAATGACTGCCAAAGGAGGGCGCATGCAAAGTAAATCTTTCATCTTTTGACAAAACGAGACATCACCTGAGCAGAAAAATGTCAGGAGACTAAAATATCTCCAGTTTCTTTTCAATTAGTTGTTTTTCTTGTTTGTTTTTCCCACCCAGCTCCAGAGCTTCCTATTGTGGAGAGAAGGAACTGGCTGATCCACCAGCACTATCTGCGCAAAGATTATGAGACCTGTAAGGTAAATATATATATATATATATTTTTGGTTATTTCCCTGTGGCTTTTTCAGTCGGTACCAACATGTGTTTACTGTCAATCAGATCACATCCAAATACAATGAAAATGAACATAATTGCATGGTAAATACACATTTCTGTTTCCCACTACTTATTTCCTGCAGCAATTGCTTTATTCCTACATCAATCTGGTCTAAACTGCATATACACTGAAAAAAAATGGAAATCTAGATAAGCCATTTTTTCTTAACATAAGTGCATTTATTCTTAGATTGAGGAGGTAAAAGAGACATTTTTACATGGAACAAGACAATTTATATTTAAAATAAGAATATTGTCTTATTTCAAGTCCATATTATCTAATTATCTTATTCTAAGAGTAAAAAAACTCATTCCACTAGCAAACTATCTCATTTACATTACGGTACTCAAATTTAGAGTTAATACACTTAATACATTTTTACTTTTAATTTTAATTTCTAGATAGTTTTTTTTCAGTGTAGGTGCCTGTATGTTTGAGACATGCTGTCTTTACTCTGCAGCTCAGTCAGGAGGTAACAGGTCCATTTCTTAAGCAGTCTTTTAATCTTTAGAAACTCCAGATCCAGCCAAGAGTTTTAATCTTATTTCCTGCGGTGAAGCTTTTATTCTGACTGTGAAAACGATTCACAATGTAAAGGCACACTGTTAAGACATTCAGGTTGTTTTAAGTCTATAAATAACTTCTCAGGCAGGTTATACTTCAAAGTCAGCCACAAAACTATGTACGCTTCAAAGATTGAGTTTTTCTCTTTTATTTCATAGCCATAGAATCCCAAGGCACTTCACTAAACCTAATCTTTAATAAAACAAGCTTCTTTCAGTTTATTTTTTATTGTTTTACTCCAAAAAGGGAAAATTGAGGCTGCTTTCACATTTATCTGCTGAATCCATCTCAGGGCAACACAAAACATCTACGACAAACAATTATGAACAGACACTGAAACTTTAAGCTAACTAGTTGGGCCCAGTTAGCCTAAAATGCAAATTTTTTGTTTTATTAAAGGAAGCTGGATTAACCTGTGAGAGCTCAGCACACTATATGCAGAAGGCCCCCGGCCAGGATTTAAAACCAGCATCTTTTAAAAAAAATCAAGGCTATGCTGTTGGCATTAAGGCTAAAGAGATCAAATGTGTGAGACTGAGGAAAACCAAACAACCAAGGAAAACAGCCTCACACCTAAAGGGATATCTCAGGAAAACCTAAGCCTCCGATAATTGAAAGCTCTCCCTCCCCTTCTGTTGTTGCTTCTTTATCAACCACAAGAAAATCTGCTGTCTGAGAGCAAATTCCCTGTAAGCAAAACAGTTTTCTAAGTTAAAACGGAGCTCGATTGCTCAGTGCTTAGTATATAAGAAGGAAATGTTGAACTTGTATTCAGACAGAAGAAATTACGTTGATGAGAAAACCAAAAAATAAATGCTTTTGATTAAGTTTGACACAGACTTGTGAGGCTCCTCTGGTTCCTAATGTTGCATCATGATTTCATACTAACTAATGCAGGTTGGAAGGGACTTATTACCCATTCAAAATAGTGAAAGGCGATCCTAATAGCGCTGCACAGCACATTGCAAATAATTAATGATCTCAAAATCAATATCTGTGTACAATATCTATATAATAAAGTCTGTTTGGAATGCAGCATTTAGTGGACAGTTCATGCCAAGTATCAATGGTTTGTCTATTACATGCCAATAGTATAATTAGGCTTCTTCGCTGCAGTAGAAAACCACAGCTGACACAGGTCACAGAGCGAGGTTTGAAGCATTTAAGAAAGCAATTAGAAACTGCTGATCTGAACGCTGAAAGCTGACTGCAGCTTTTAGGAGAAAATAAATTCGAACCCATTTGGAATATTTTTACTCAATTCAATAATTTTGACAAAGGCAAATAAGCTACTGTGGACATTAGTTGATGCAACACTGATTGCTTTACTGATTTAAAATTATATCTTATAATCTGATAACCATAGCTTCAAATAGTCTCCTAAGCCTATTTCACTGGAAAAAAAAATCTTAATCTAAACAATTCATATTTTATTAAAATAAGTGCATTTCTTCTTGGATTTAGGAGGTAAAAGAGACATTTTGCCAATGGAACACGACAATTCACACTTAAAATAAGAAAACACAATTGCATTGTCTTATTTTAAGTGCATGTTATCTAATTATCTTATTTTTAGAATAAAAGTACTCATTCCATTGGCAAACTATCATTTACCTACTCAAATTAAGGGTAAATACACTTAATTTGATACATTTAATAAATTTTTTTCTTGTTTCTAGATTGTTTTTCCAGTGTAGCTCTTCAGTTTGAACAGCTGTCCGTCTCTATTTTCGTAGGTGATCATTAAGGAGCAACTGCAGGAAAGCAGTGGAATGTGTGAATATGCCATTTACGTTCAAGGTGAGACATTCTCTTCCTTCACACGTTGTTTTTGATGTTAGCTGAAGGGTGCAGTGAATAAAGAAGCTCTGCTGCAGTCGACTCCTAAGCTCCACAGTTGGTGGTCTAATGTCTAATTTCCTCAAATCTTCTCTTTGGATGCCGTGCTGTGCCTTTGATTTTTTTCACATAGATAAAGAACCTCTTATTTTCTTTTTTTTCTACATCTTTCTTGTTATCCAGCACTAATCTTACGTCTTGAGGGGAAGATCCAGGAGTCCCTGGAGCTGTTTCAGAGCTGTGCCATCCTTAATCCCAGCAGCTCTGATAACCTTAAGCAAGTGGCCCGATCACTGTAAGCTTGCCACACTGAACCCTGTATGAGTGCAGGAAGCCTCCCTCACTAACCATCAAGATGGAGGCAGGAGGGCTTCCTAGTAATTATTGTAAAACTGCAGGCAGGTGAAGGGCATCAGGCCAATTTCACCTACTTGTAGAAGCTTTTCTCTTTTTAGAAGAAATTGCTAAATATGATCTTAGATATCTGGATGGCTTCTTATAATTATTCTTGTTTTATTCTGTTTTCTAGATTTCTTCTTGGAAAACACAAAGCAGCTATTGAGTTCTATCATGAAGCTGCAAAACTTAACGAGAAAGATTGGGTAAATAACGCACAATATTACTACCCATATTAGCACTTAGCATTGTTTGATATTTATGATAGCTACTGCATTTCCAGTATATTGCTAACCCTAACTTTAATCTAAAAGTCACACCATACCTCTATATTCAATTCAGTTTATTTATATAGCGCCAATTCACAACACATGTCATCTCAAGGCACTTTACACTTCACCAGATCATACAGTCAAATTGCTTCAAAGATTTCTATTTAAGGAAAACCAGTTGATTGCATCGACTCAATGGCAATCCTTTACACTAAGCATGCTTGTAGTGACAGTGGAGGGGAAAGACTCCCTTTTGACAGGAAGAAAACTCCAGCAGAACTAGGCTCAGTGTGAGCGGCCATCTGCTGAGGCCGACTGGGCTTCAAGCAGACAGAAGCAGAGATACCAAAGGCAACTGTAAATCAGCCCAACAGGCGGCCCGTCCTGGAAACACACAGCCAGGCAGACAAGCTCCAAGCCAGCTCCCATGTCAAAGGATGAAGAGAGCACATCCGGCTCGTCACAGTCAGCGAAAAAGTCACAGTTAAGCTTCTATTATTAAAAATGGGGGTCTGCGCATTAGGAGGAGACATTTTAGCTTTTCTTTGTCTCCAGAAGGTTAGAAAATATACTAGAAAGGGTCCTAAATAGGTAGCATAAACTAGGACACACATACACACATCTCAGTATAGAGTTTTGAAATCAAAGAAGTTGTGTTTCCTGGTGGCTTTGACTCTGAAAACAAAGCATGAAGTTTTCCTCACATCTAAAGCGGAAAGAACTCTGAGTGAACTTTGTTTTTCTCAACTCTTTGCTAAAAGGCCACTTTTCCAAAGGTTGAGTTACATTTTGCATGCTCTCTAACACTCCAGCATTAAGTTTGAACAAAACCGTTTAAATACAATTTTTATTTGCAATTTAAAAATAATAAAAAATTCTCTCACCCTAGGAGATCAGTCACAACCTGGGTGTGTGCTATTACTTCATCAAAGATTTCAAAAATGTGAGTTTTCCCAACATCGCAGAGCACAGATTGCAGTTGTTGTCTCTTAGACGTTTCATTCATTTGAATGCTGTGTTTCTGTCAGGCTGAGGAACATCTAAACACAGCTCTCCAGATAAATAAACATGACAAGACCTTCACGATGCTCGGAAAGGTTCATCTGCTGGCTGAAGAAACCGACAAGGCTATTGAGGTGTACAAGAGAGCAGTGGAGTAAGTGGGGTTTAAACATTCTGGTAAACACCACTGAGTGGGCAAACAGAGGAAATGATAATACTGTTTTCATGCACTGAACTTTTGGAAAATTGCAAACCACAGTGAGTTTTTATTGGTATTTTATGTCAAACACCAACCTGAAAATAGCGCAATATAGTGGAGGGGAAATGGGATTTGGGTTTTATAGTTTTTAATGCAAATGATGTTGGAAGCCCTCACCAAATTCAGACTTCAGACGTCACATAATCAGTAAACCAAGTCATTCTGTGTTAGGGGTGGAATGGTTCACAAAATCCACGGTTCGGTTCGGTTCACGGTTTCGTGGTCACGGTTTTCGGTTCGGTATATGTTGATTGTTAGCCTGACATGTTGGTCGTGTTGCTGTTAGCATAAACAAAACGTGTTGCACAATGCTTGCACATTGTTTTTATCCACATCTTTCTTTCCGCCGTCATTGTAGGTCACTCTAAATGCAAAGTGGTCCCATACAGCAGACCTATAAAGTGCTGCTGGCGCGTCTTCCAACTCCTATTCTTTCCCACTCGCCATTCCCACACAATTCTCCACAACAACTGATTTTTTTCCCTGCTACACCCGGCTATGCTGCTTCGCTTCTTCTTCTTATTGTTTACTACCGGTGGTTGGCTTTGGTCGCAGTACCGCCACCTTCTGCTCTGGAGTGTAAACGCTTCGCCTATGAGAAAAAGGAGCAGCGCATGAACCGAGCGCAACACATGCGAATTGAACCGAGGCAGTCGAACCGAACGGTTCGGACGGTTTTCATAAACCGTTCCATCCCTATTCTGTGTGTGATTTGATCTCAGTCTAATCACAGCTTTTCTTTTAAAGCTTGAGAGGCTCATGAAAACATTAGTGTCTATCCAGACCCTGGGGAAAAAACTATTTTATCTCAACATGGTTTTATTAAAAATGTTACCTAAACATCCTAACGTCACTTAACAAACTGCTGGACATTATAAACAATGCCAGCTACCCTCTGCACACTCTTCACCACTCAGAGGAGCCTGATCAGTGGGAGATTGCTCCTCTACACATCCAGGACCAACAGACTGTTGAACTCCTTTGTTCCTCAAACTATCAAGCTGTACATCTCCTCACTTAGGGGAAGGAGGAGGTGATAAAAAGTGGGTCAAGGGTCAGCACCCCCCTCGTTAGACATAATATGCAAAACATTACCTATTGTCACTTGTGCAATATTTTTCTCTCTCACTTTGCAATAAAGCATGCCAACGGCGGTGCAGCCTGTGTAATTTTTCACTTATTTATAAGGTCAGCACATCTTTGCAGTGCAATAATCCAAGTCAACTACTGTGTAGTCTTTCCTTAGCTCTGTACTGTGCAGATATTTTTATATCTAAAGGAAACATATTCCAGGACACTACAACTTTTTTAATGTTTGTTTTTGTTCTATATACACTCCTGTTATATTGTCTGTTATATTTTTATCTTTAATGGCATCTTGCTTTAACTCTTTTTACTCTATATAAGCTACTGGAACCAGAATTTCCCTGAAGCAGCAATCCCATGGATAAATACAGTTAAGTCTAAGCCTAATGCACTCCCAAAATTTTTTTCTGCTGCTTTAAAAAAGCTTAATTTATCACATAAATCTTTAATAAATGGTGTTTAGATAATCAGCTAATAATTGCTGCCATTTAAGCAGGTATTTAAGATAGCGTTATTGAATAAAGTTATATTGTGAAAGATGATCCTGAACACACCAGTGTCCAGGTGAGAGATGGTGTTTGGCAGCATCATGCTGTGAGCATGCTTTATGCAGCAGGGGGATGCTGGTTAGAATTAATTGGAAGATGATGTCAACGTTTACTTTTAAATCCAATTGAAAATCAGTGGCAATATTGAAAATCGCAGCTCGGTCCGACTTCAGCTGGCTTGAGTCTGTAGGATGTGACCCCAACTACATGTCTTATCTCTTCCTCTCTACAGTTTTGGACAATCCTTGGAGTTTTATGTCCACAAAATAAATAAATACACATTTTTCTTCCACCTCTCAGTTCTGCGCTGCTTTAGGTTGAATCGTCACATAAAAACACAGCTGCAAAATGAAAATAAAAAAGTTTTATGGTGTTATGATGAAACAGAATTACAGTGTTGAAAGTACTTTTGCAAAGTTTAGCAGCCATTTTATTCTTCATTTCAATGTAATATAGTTTAAACTCTTTCTGAAAAAGCTTCAACTTTGTGTGCTGATTCCATGATTTTTTGCCTGTGGGCTCTCTGCAGGAGATGTTTGTCCTTTATTCCCACCAAAAGTTCCATATTCACCATATTTTTACCCAAAGTCCTTTTCAGCTCCTTTATAAATTTGCCCTATTTCCAGTTTGTTGAATTTTTAAACACTAGGCCGTGGTGTAAATAAGAAAATGATATCAGTGTCTGTAATAGCGCTCATTATGACTACCTCCTGTTGAGGCCAAATGAATTAATCAAATGCCCCAATACTTGTGCTCCCTTTAATGAGACTCACCACTGTGAGTCTTATTTTAGAGTCAAAGCGCCTCCTCTCAGCATCTTCTCTTTGGGCCGCAGAGGTCATAATTAATATGCTACAATTAAGCTGAAGTTACAGCTGATGGCATAATCAGGATTATCTCTGCTCAGAGAAGTGCAGAAATTAAACGTAATAAGAAGCATGATGTGGATGAAGTGACATTTGTCATTCAGTTTGCCCCATTCTCTTTTCAGATTCTCTCCAGAGAACACTGAACTCCTCACTACTCTAGGTCTCCTTTATCTGCAGGTGGGTAAAATTGTCCGCAGTCTTTTCTGTGTTTTTCTTTTTGCTCTTTAAATAAAAAAGTATATTAAATATATATATTTATCCTGTTTAGCTTGGGAAGTACCAAAAAGCATTCGAGCACCTTGGGAATGCCCTCACTTTTGACCCCAACAATTATAAGGTATGCTGGTTCTGACACATTGCTCTTCAGTTCAGCCTTAGCTTCCTGCTGAACCCCTGAAGGCAGCACAGACGTGTTTCTTTTAGAGTGGTTCACTTATATCAGAAGGTCAGATGCTCCAGCCAGACCTTCATCATGTTCTGTTTCAAAGCTTATATCTTCCTCTAATATATGTCTAATCACTGTTTTTATTCCCAGGCCATCCTGGCTGCAGGCAGCATGATGCAAACCCACGGTGACTTTGATGTGGCCATGAACAAGTATAGAGTGGCAGCGTGTGCCGTGCCGGAGAGCCCCCCTCTCTGGAACAACATTGGCATGTGTTTCTTTGGCAAGAAGAAATATGTGGCGGTGAGTGATGCTGTTTTTGTGTTTGGTCGTTGCAAAGCAACAGGTCAGAACAAGTAATGGGATTCACCCACCAGGTATAGTCATGATTAAAAAGATAGCCCTGCCTCTTTAGGTCTTTGGTTTTACTTATGAGAACATTATAATATCTAATCTGAAACAGGCAGGAAAAAGTTGTAAGATTTAACGTCCAGATTACAAAACAGCAGATAAGTTTTCAAAATCTATTTTAACATCACTAAGAGCTTTCCCACTCCACTGTCTTTCATGTCATTGAGGATACATTTTGACCCACTTTTTCTGACAGATGTTACTTTAGTTTGTTAAGGTTTGCACAGGTTGGTTTGTTTTTAGGCCCCAGTCCAGCGTATCAGTCAGGTTTAAGGGCCGATTATACTCTCGCAGCAGTGTGTTGCAGTGAGCTTGTCGCAGAAATTTTTGATTTATACCCAATATTAAAGCGTGGTCTGTGCTCTGTTATTCCATGAGGGACAAGAGGGACAATCAGGAACTAGCTGTGGGTTTAGATACGGCTGAACCAGGGGCAAGTTTGTGCAACAACTGAGGGACATGAGGGCAAAAACGAGCAGGGATCCAGGTGGGAAAAGGGTCCCAGCATTCTTGTATACCTCACCCATTAGCTGGTCCAACTTTAGTCGTTTTCCACAATGGCGGTCATACAAACAAAACAAGCAGGTAAGGTAGCAAACAGCTTACTGTAGAGTGGATGTAGATTTTATCAATCAGAGGCCTCCTGTCTGCGGCACTGCAGTGTTTCCCATTAATAATATTAAATTTATATTTTTTTAAAACAAAGTGGAGTGTGTATAATGTCATCCACGCGCCAGACTGGAGTTGTGACAGGCAGTCCCGGCCACAGGCGGCTATGCTCTACTCCTTCTATTCATTCGGCTAGCTAACCTGAATCGTTCAATTCCATTTCGAGAGCGAGATCATCTGTGGTAGTAGCACTAGACATCTTCCAGGCATGTTAGTAAAACTAGCAGTACAGGTGCTGGTCATAAAATTAGAATATCATGAAAAAGTAGATTGATTTCAGTAATTCCATTTAAAAAGTGAAACTTGTATATTATATTCATACATTACATACAAACTCATATATTTCAGATGTTTATTTTGTTTAATTTTGATGATTACAAATGACAACAAATGAAAATCTCAAATTCATCATATCAGAAAATTAGAATATTGTGAAAAGGTTCAAAATTGATGGCCCCTGGTGCCACACTCTAATCAGCTAATTAACTCAAACCACCTGCAAAAGCCTTTAAATGGTCTTTCAGTCTAGTTCTATAGGCTACACAATCATGGGGAAGACTGCTGACTTGACAGTTGTCCAAAAGACGACCATCGACACCTTGCACAAGGAGGGCAAGACACAAAAGGTCATTGCTAAAGAGGCTGGCTGTTCACAGAGCTCAGTGTCCAAGCACATTAATAGAGAGGCGAAGGGAAGGAAAAGATGTGGTCGAAAAAAGTGTACAAGCAAGAGAGATAACCGCACCCTGGAGAGGATTGTGAAACAAAACCCATTCAAAAATGTGGGGGAGATTCACAAAGAGTGGACTGCAGCTGGAGTGAGTGCTTCAAGAACCACCACACACAGACGTATGAAAGACATGGGTTTCTGCTGTCGCATTCCTTGTGTCAAGCCACTCTTGAACCACAGACAGCGTCAGAAGCGTCTTGCCTGGGCTAAAGAGAAACAGGACTGGACTGCTGGTGAGTGGTCCAAAGTCATGTTCTCTGATGAAAGTAAATTTTGCATTTCCTTTGGAAATCAAGGTCCCAGAGTCTGGAGGAAAAGAAGAGAGGCACTTCATCCACGTTGCTTGAAGTCCAGTGTAAAGTTTCCACAGTCAGTGATGGTTTGGGGTGCCATGTCATCTGCTGGTGTTGGTCCATTGTGTTTTCTGAGGTCCAGGGTCAACGCAGCCACATACCAGGAAGTTTTAGAGCACTTCATGCTTCCTGCAGCTGACCAACTTTTTGGAGATGCAGATTTCATTTTCCAACAGGACTTGGCACCTGCACACAGTGCCAAAGCTACCAGTACCTGGTTGAAGGACCATGGTATCCCTGTTCTTAATTGGCCAGCAAACTCTCCTGACCTTAACCCCATAGAAAATCTATGGGGTATTGTGAAGAAGAAGATGCAATACACCAGACCCAACAATTCAGAAGAGCTAAAAGCCACTATTAGAGCAACCTGGGCTATCATAACACCTGAGCAGTGCCACAGACTGATCGACTCCATGCCACGCCGCATTGCTGCAGTAATACAGGCCAAAGGAGGCCCAACTAAATACTGAGTGCTGTACATGCTCATACTTTTCATGTTCATACTTTTCAGTTGGCCAACATTTCTATAAATCCTTTGTTTTTATTGGTCTTCAGTAATATTCTAATTTTCTGATATGATGAATTTGAGATTTTCATTTGTTGTCATTTGTAATCATCAAAATTAAACAAAATAAACATCTGAAATATATGAGTTTGTATGTAATGTATGAATATAATATACAAGTTTCACTTTTTAAATGGAATTACTGAAATCAATCTATTTTTTCATGATATTCTAATTTTATGACCAGCACCTGTAGTTCAGCGGACAGGATGAAGGAATGGTAGCCGGTGCGCGCGGATGACATCATACATGCACCGCTTTGTATTTAAAAGATATAAATATAAAACATATAACCGCGGATGTCTGGGGGACAGTGATTAGTCTACATGTTATGAATGCGGGTGTACCATAAATGATAAATTATGAACAGTTTAGTTTAGCTCCAAATGACACAAAACTCATAAGGGTGAGTAGAACATGATGTAATGACGTAAAATTAGGGGCCCGATGTAAAAAAAACTGGCATTTCCCTTTAAGTGGGATACACAACGCTTAAAAATGTGCAAAACCCCCGAGGGTCAGAGACTCTCCCACCACAGTCTCCTAAAATCCTGTGGGAAACACTGCACTGTCTGCGGCCACCTACAATTTTGGAGAGGTGCAGCAGAGTGTCTGTGGAAAGGGGGGCACATTTGCGTTCACTACGACACACGAGCAGTCGACCTGGGCTGTGAGTTTAAATCAGCCTTAAGCTCTTTACTTTGACTGGAACACTGCATTATTTCTCTTATTATCATATAGACCACAACCATGAACTCTTCTTTCAGTCAAAAGAGTTTCTAATTGGGGTGTGGTTGTGGTGCAGGGGTTAAGCAGGTAACCCACGTATGGAGGCCTTGTTCAACCATCACTGGTTCAAGTCCCGTCCTGGTGACCTTTGCCGCAAGTCTTCCCCTTCTCTTTAATTCCATTTCCTATCTGCATACTTTAAATGAAAAAAAAAAAAAATCTAAATGAATTCCACTAGAGTATAAAAAATTATCTAAAAGAAATAAAAAAGAGTTCATAATTATTTTTTTGGCTGCGAAACAGAGCCCCAATCATAACCCTTCCACCACCATGTTGAGCACTTGTTCAAGTGCTCTGATATTTTGCTTAGTTTATTTTATTTCCAAAAAGCAGTATTTATTACAACCAAACATCTTTACTTTGCTCCAATCTGTCCAAAATGTACTGTTGCATCCAAAGCTCTGTGAGTCGTTCAGGTTCAACCTTGCAAACTTGAGTAACACTCCCATATTCTTTAAATAACAACCCATTAAATTAGCCATACCGCTTTTTTTTTTATTTTAGACTGTAAACAAGTACGGCTGTAAACATGAAATCTAGTTTGAGGCTTTTTTTGGTTGTTTTTCAAAACCTCAGTCACATTCAGACCTTTGGGTGATTTTGCTGAATGTCCTGAAACGTTTTCCTTTTTTTCAGTGGAATAATGAACTTTGAATGGATTGAAAATGGTGTTATAACCCTCCCCATATTGATGAGAATATACAGTTACTTCTCTAAGGTCATTGCTGATGTCCTTCCAACTTGACTTTGTGTTAATACACACATCTATGACCCAGACGAGCAAAACTCCTGCTGTCATAGAGATCCTCATATGCAATGATCATTTATCTAAGCTCATGGCTGCTGCTTCTCTTATTAATTGCTATAGTGGTATTAAGAATGTATTTTATGCTGTTGAAGATTTTCAGTCATCCAGGTCATAGTCATTCCGTAAATGATTAAAAAACAATCTATTGGACTTGGTTTCCAAGGTTTGAAGATGTTTTGCTTCCCCTCCAGGAAGCTTTCTTAATTCAAAAAATGAATTGAGAAAGCTTCCTGGAGGGGAAGCAAAACATCTTCAAACCTTGGAAACCAAGTCCAGTGGATTGTTTTTTAAACTTTTACGGAAGAATGTATTTTGTTTATTACAGCTGGCCTTCCATTTTAGCTTTGTTTTTGTGTCATTTAAAGTGACAGTTGTACTCCTGAGATTTAAAATGTGATAAACTAAAGAACCTTGTAAAGACTTGTTGATGTTTTGTATATCTAGGTGAGTAAGACCCAGTGGCAGTTCTAGACCAAATGTTCCAGGGGGCCATGGGGGGACCACCATGTTTTCATGGGAGAACAGTAAAGCATGAAGCAAAAAAAAAAAAAACGGGCAACATATTCAAATATATTTTAAAAAGCTGCATGAAGTGAAATTTCATCAATTAGTTTTAATTCAAATTAAATGTCTTCTAACTAAAAATATTTATTTTTGGCTTGAAAATGTTCATTTGGATTATTGTTAAAATCCAAAATAAAAATCCCTTAGCACAGCAAAAAAGCAACTCAAAAAATTGTAGCTATATAAATATATAAAAAGAGCTCAAGTAAAGCTATTTGGAATATTAGGTCAAAGTACATTCAGAATTTAGGATTTTTATATATTTTTTAACTTAATTTAAGTTGAAATTATAGTTTTCTATGAAACCAGAATGAGAACTCAAGGAAAACTGATAAATTTAGCAGTTTTTTTTTTATTTGTTTTGAAAAAAACAACAGATGCAAACTGGGATCCTATTTCAATATCATGGAAGCTATCACCTTATTGTTTTAAAATAATTGGTAAAACAGAATATGCTAAAGAAAAACAAATGAAATAGATCCAAAGGACCTATCAGAAACCTTGTCTGCTCCAGTGCATATCATCATTAGAATTTCTCTTAGTACTGTCTTTAATGCAGGGGCCACAACAGGGGCCAGGACATGATCTACAGAGCACTGGCCCCCCAATTGGCCCCTGTCTAGAACCACCCATGGTAAAACCATAGAACTGAGTCAGGATGTTGATTGTTAGCTTTTTGTCCGTCCATCCATCCATCCATCCATCCATCCATCCATCCATCCATCCATCCATCCATCCATCCATTCATCCATCCATCCATCCATCCATCCATCCATCCATCCATCCATCCATCCATCCATCCATCCATCCATCCATCCATCCATTTTCTTCCGCTTATCTGAGTCCGGGTAGCAGAGGCAGCAGTCTAAGCAAAGATTCCCAGACTTCCCAATTCACAGCCTCCTCAAGCTGCTCTGGGGGGACCCCGAGGCCACACCAAGCCAGCTCAGAGACACAGTCCCTCCAGGGTGTCCTGGGCCTTCCACGAGGCCTCCTCCCAATGGGACATGCCTGGAACACCTCCTGAGGGAGGTGACCAGCAGGCATCCGAAACAGATGTCTGAGCCACATCAGCTGGCTCCTTAGCTTATTGTACTTTCTTTAATTTATCTTTTTGTTACTAATCATTGTTTTCTATTAACCTGATCCAACTGATAATGAAAGGGCAGAACAGCTCCTCTATGAACCGTCTTGATCTGTCAGAAAAAATGTCTGTCGTTCAAGCATGTGGGGAATAATTAAGCTTGTGCAGGAGGTATTTTATGTCAGAACATGAATCAAACCATAGCTACATCTTTTTTTTTTATGCTTGTCTTTAATGCATATCTGTAATGTAATAGAGGCTTGTAACAACCGGATCTGAGTCATGCGTCCTTGAAGTGTTATAAATCCACTTTTTCCTGGACTGTTCAGATACAATTACAGCTCTTCCTCCTTCACTTGCTCCCACAGGCCATCAGCTGCCTGAAGCGTGCTCACTACTTGTCTCCCTTTGACTGGAAAGTGTTGTATAACCTGGGGCTGGTACACCTGACCATGCAGCAGTATGCGTCAGCTTTCCATTTCCTCAGTGCAGCCATTAATCTGAACCCAAGAATGGGGGAGCTCTACATGTTGCTGGCAGGTAATGGTGTTAAGGACTGAGAAATGATCCATGCAGTAATTCTGGCATTAAAAGGAAATCCTTTAAACTATGGCAGCTAGCTAAAGATTTATAATGACACGATGTAAATGTAAGTAATTTGTAAAATTTGTATTGTGAACATCATATATTATACTATCTTAAATTCACTGTTTTCCCTTTTCTATTATCTATAAATCACAGTGGCTCTGACTAATTTGGAAGATGTGGAGAATGCCACCCGGGCATATGAACAAGCTGTGAATCTTGATGAGTAAGTCCTCCATTCCACACTGATTTTTTTAAATCTAAGAATAATGAAAATGTAGAAAAAGGATTCTCTATCATTGCTCTCTCCACCAAAAGAACCAACCCCATGGTCAACCTGAACTTTGCCATATTCCTCTACAATCATGGTGACAAGCAGCGAGCTCTGGATCAATATCAGGAGATGGAACGGAAAGTCAACCAGCTTCGGGAAAGCAGTAACAACTTTGAGTTTGACCCTGAGGTGCTGTACTTCCTGACATCCTGTATTCCAGCTGTAGTTACATGTCGTGATGTGTTAACCTGTTGCTTCTCTTACCTATTAGCTGATGGACATGGCTCAGAAGATGGGCACTGCTCTGCAGGTGACAGAGAGCGTGGTTTGGACTAAACCAGGCAAGGACTCTAAGTCTAAATCTCATTCGGTGGCAGCAGCCAAAACCCCGGGAGCTCCTCTGGGCACGAACCAAGCTCTGGGTCAGGCCATGTCTTCCGCCGCCAGTTACAACAAGAACATCCAGCTAACAACAGGTGAGTATTTCCAGGGCTGCTTTGCTGTTATTATTTCTTAAATCTAAAAACTGGAAATAGAGTTCAATATAAATGTGTTTCTTTCAGCTGTAGTTCCTATTAAAGTCAAATAGACCATGTTGCTTCCTGCATTCCTTACTGTCGAATTGATTAATAAGTTAAAAAAGCAGCCAAAGAATATACTTTTTTTAGTAGGAGGCTAAGAGACAGAAATGAAAAATAAAACCCACCTGTTAGAAAATGCTTTAAAATGTTTCTTTAATGCATGATTTTTTTTCTTATTTTGAATACTGTATTACTCACTGGTCCCTGACAAACATGGCAACCTGAAATACAAAATACTCACTATTCAAAAAAGCTTTACAAGTATTCTATAGGAAAACTGTCCTTTCATTATTGTCTCATTCTCCAATTCATAAAATAAAAATTTTCCTCTTCAGTATTTAAGGTTTTAAAAATACTCGCTCCATTAAAAGAGCTCAGTAAGTTAAAATCCAGCATTAGTAGAAAGGTAACAAGAGCATCTACTAGAACACAACATTTAATCAACAGGTGTTATCAGTCAAGGGTTCAGAACTTTGGAACAACATCCTAGCTGATATAAGAGCTTCTACTACATTCGGTTCACTTAAATGATAAAAGCTAAGTCGGCCGAAACAACTAGCAGGAAGAGCGACACCACTTGCAACACGGAGGAGAAAACAGAGGGACGCAAAAACATTGTTATTTTATAGGATTCAGGAATTTCTGAGAAGGATTTTCTTGAAACACAACATACCGGTGAATTTCAAACCTAACAAAACACTCAGTCACCAAAACACTGGTCATCCTAAACACAGAACACAAAAAAACCTTAGCTGAGTGACTTTGTGTATGCAGTCCAGTGCAGTGAGGACTGTACACTAGCCATTCCCAATGGCTGCTACGCAACGCCAGCTGAATGACAGCCAACCTCAAGCCACTTCCATCTTTCAGTAGAAGCTCTTACTGCTTGTCACTACACGATCCGTCCCGTAAGCACGATTCGTTCTGCACATGCGCTATCAGCTCATTTGCGCATGCGCATCCAGATATATATCTAGGTCATCCTCGATTTTATTTTGTTAGAAAGACCTAAATGACGGTTTCCTTTCCCAAAAATAGTAAACATACTAAAACATAATGTGTTAAAGGTTAATAATGTATTTCCTGAGAAAATAAATGCCTTAAAATCCTTTCTGTTTTATCACTCGTCTCTGCCCGATCTGCACCGGAAATGGGATCCAACGCTACTTCCTACGCTACTATCCATATAAGATACCTATGGGGGGGAAAGTAGTGTTTATAGATCAGAGTCCATGACAAGAAGGCCTGGCGGTGAAAAGCTGATAACTTAATGGGAACTTTATAACTATCATAACATTAAGAAGAAGTTTATTCCACCAAGTTTAGAAATCATATGTAAAGGTATTGTATTCCAAATAGACTTAAAATATTTGTATATATATTTCTTAACCAATTGATTTTAAAAGTGTTGTTCAGGGTAGTAAAGTCTAGGAAGTTAAGACCACCTTCATTGTATGGATTCATGAGAACAGGTTTTTTAAAATAGTGAGTCTTATTTCTCCATATGAAGTTAAATAACATTTTGTCAATGTCACTTAGAAGTTTTTTCTCTAAATGGAGAGATAAAGCTGCAAAAGTCAGATGCAAAATTCCCTCTGCCTTGGTTATTAATACTCTCCCTTTAAAAGAGAGAGCTCTTAAGAGCCATTGGTTGATCTTTAGTAATTATTATACCCAAGTACCTCACTTCATCTTTAACTATTATATTACAAATGGAGCTGGTGGAGCATTCCTTTATAGCCTTGAGCTCACATTTGTTGAAATTTACATATAATCCAGAAGCTTGTGAAAACTCTTTTAATGATTCCAAAGCAAGAGAGACCTGATTTTTATCTTTCAAAAAGAGAGTTGTATCATCTGCAAGTTGAGTGATTATAAGATTTCTATCTAATAGAGGGAGGCCTTGAATATCACTGGATTTAATATGGTTTGCTAAAAGCTGAGAAACCAGCAGAAAAATGTATGTAACATCTGGGCATCCTCTTAAAAGATCAAATCTAGAACAGGTTCCACCAGTCCTGGGACGGAACGGGTAGTGACACTGCTGCGAGCCAACAAGCTAACAGGAGCTAGCATTCTTCTTCTTCCCTACTCCAGGGGCTATATGTAGAGCTCCCCGTACAGGTTTGGTGGGGGACAGTTCAGTAAATCTCAGCGGCCTATAGCCCGGCGAGGATTATATATGTACTTTTCAAAAGATTCAGTTTGCACAGCTTATAGTGAGGTGTGCTCTATAGACTGGAAAATAAGGTAATCTCAAAAGATTATAACATTTAGATTTACAATCCTTGATAGATGCTCAGATTAGAGCAGCTTTTAATGGAATGAAATTAACTCTGTTATATTTTTCAGCCGTTTCCAAAGGCCCCCCCTCAGCTCCTCAGCCGGAGCCTGATGTAGAGAAAGCCCCCAGCCCACCAACTGACCCTCCAGGATCCCCAAAACCGGAAGATCCAGACCGTTCCAGACCCATAAGCTCAAAGAGGAAGTCCAAGGTGGAGGAATGAAGTAGTGACTGCGGTGCTCAATGCCTCTTATTTAGATTAACTGTAGTCATATTTGGGACTTTTAGGAACATTGAATCCACTTTAAGGTCAAAACAATTCAGGGTCATTTTTCTTCACTTTTCATATTTATAACAGTTCCTCTGACCGGTTTGGTGCAATGTTAAAGCCAATGGCATTATGTGTCTGTTAAATCAAAACGTATGTTTAAAAAAAGTAGAAAAAGCTTTTGCGACCTGTTTAGTGTTGATCTTTTAAAAATGGCTTTGCTATTTGCTGAAATTTTTTCATGTCTTAACATTTCTATAAAATCCACTGCTGGATGAAGGAGACAGCGTGACGGTCTGAGTCGGAGCCAAGAAGGTGTTGAAAGAGCGATGTTTTTAAACATTTGTATTATAGGACTAGATTGCTAATGATCATATTATATGTGGACGACTGTAATGTTTATAAGAAATAAAAAAATTAACATTAGATCTATGATTTTAAAGGAATTCTTGTGTTTCATTTTGGAGATCTAGCTGATGATTTGTCCTTTTTCATTCATCCCAAACATGTATATCTTATTTTATTAATTAGTCTGAATTCAATTGTTTTGTTTTTTTACTTTTTTAGTTTCTCCTCGAGGAGAGCAAAGAGACAAGAGTAGTTTTCCATGACTGTTAAAGTTTTATATCTTTAATTCAGAGTTGTTATTATTGATTTGAGCCTTCTGATCCAGGGATCTCCTCCAACTTTTACTGGTTTTAAAGCTGAGTCTTTTTCCTGTGATGACGGCCACTTCAGCCCTCCTTCCTTCCTTAATGAAGCCTCAGCTGACACCGCCACATCCTGTGAGGGAAAACCAGGAACCAGCTTCAGCACCATTTGACCCTGCAGATGCACACAGCAGCAGTCGCTCATTTGTTTCATCTCATTCACTAATACAAACCCTGCTACATTTGATTGCCAAGTTACTGTAGTTCCTTTCATTAGGAGCTTGTTAAACTGTGCCCGCTTGAATCGCCTGTGGTCCTACGTTTTACAAGCTGCCTGATGGCCTGTAAGTTACTCTTCCTGCTGCAGTTATATTTCAGCACAGCTGTGGAAGATTGCTTTTCCATTTCTCATCTCGCTACAATTCAAATAGCCTCCAGGAAAATCTCAGCTCCTCCTGAAAGTTTTCATCTAAAGTTTTCTCTCTAAAGGGAAACGGCTGACTTGTGTTATGTCTCATCGTTGGGTCGTTCATTCCACAGTCTGCTAAAAACTACACCTTTATATAAAAGCTTTAAGATTCTTGCAGTGGTGGGATAATGTGGTATTGACTGAAAAAAAATGCCGGCTTACCGATTAGAGGGTTATGATTTTATTAAATTAGCTGATGAAACAATATCAGCCTCATTGAGAGGAAATACTTCTAACTGGACAATACTGGATTTATTTTTCTTTTTATTCATTTAACCTTGATGGTTCCACTGGGATTACATATATCAATTTCAAGGGTACATGTAAGTGATTCTGCCTCAAGAACTTTGGAAATCAAAGGACTCGGTGAGATAAGGAAGTTTCAGGAGGAGGGATGTTTCTTGTTCCATTCAGTCCAACTGAAAAGGACAGAAAGAAGCTGCATATTGTTTGAGTGAAAGGTATATAGGTTGATAATGCAGCACAGATATAGGCCAGAAGCAGTCCAAGTAATGCCTAATAAATAAAAGTAAACCAATCTGAATTCCTGAATAGTTTGGCTGCACAAAGGAATTCCCAACTGTTGATGTTGGGATGAAATGAAATGTAACATTTTATTACACTTTCAACTGCAGTAACTGTTTTTATGATATGATATTTGTAAAGCTTTGAAAACATAAAAAAAGGTAAATACACATTGGTAGCAATAGGCAAATTAACACAGAATAAGTAAATCTCTGGGTTTTATAGTCATGATATTAACTTGTCAGGTATATTCAAATAATTATATGATCAACAAGACCATCATAGAAAGATTTGTATTTAAAATGTAAAAAAACCCAGAAAATTTTGATTTAGTAAAAAGTTTAATATTTTTAAATAACTGATTTCTGAAGTTGAAACTGAATATCATAAGTGAAATATTACAAGCCTTTATTTTATCTTAATTTTATGAGTGTGCTAGATGGGTAAAACATCCAAATTGTGTTTCTGAAAATTGGAATATTGTTAAAGAATGGAAGCTTAACATATCCCCCTCTAGTCAGCTTGTTAACTTAAAATTGGAGAGCTACTGATAATGGGATTTTAAGACCATGCTGATTCAGAATATTTTGACATCCATCAAACAGATCCTGGACAATTGTGGTTGATTGTTTTTGGCCAATGACTGAAGCTTATATTTCCTTTACTTCCTCCATTTTTCCTAACCCTTTATAGGGCAAGTTAACGTTTTTCATCACTTACATACCCCTTACAAATGGAGTCTGGCATAAAATCACTTGTGGGGGTGACTGTCACATAGATCGGGTTTATAAAGTGCATATGTAGGCCAAAAAGGACGCTGTGGTTGTCATAAACTCTAAATAAAATTAATTAATTGAATTTTATTGATCTCGTATTGGAGAAATACACTCTCTGCATTTGGCCCATCCCCTTGGTGAGCAGTGGGCTGCCATTGTGCAGTGTGGGGGTTAAGGGTCTTGCTCAGGGACTCAGAGTGCAGACTGTGGGGATCGAACCTTCTCAGAGCATAAGCGCACTACTCTAACCAATAGGCCAACACTCCCCAAGTAAGAAAGTAAGTAGATTAGATGAAATTATGGAGATTCTGGTGGGCTAAATTATGTTTGGTTGTAGACATCTTGATTGTTTTGTGTGTTTCTTTTTTAAATTAGCCTCGACTTGTTGGTTCATCTCATATGAGATGTTACCTTTACAAGATATCTTTTCAACTAAAATAGGAAATTAAACATGGTTGATTGAAAGCTTGTAATCTATATACAAAAAAATCTTACTTTTGTATTTTTTAATGCAAGTTGGATTTTCAATCAATTTCTCTTCAGAGGAAGAATTTTTCTTTCTTCCAACCAGACACTTACACTCCAGCATAGCACTGTTTAGCATTTAAATAAAAAAAGTGTATCAGGGTAACTGTAATTAAATGAGTTGTGTAAATGATCTGGATTTGGATGTGGCCAAGGAAAGAAGCAAATCTGATTTGAGCAAAGAGGGAGGTAACTTTTACTTCCTGTTACCACCAGCTATTTTGTATTTCAAATACATCTGTGTGCTGTAGTTTGAGAGTTATTGATTCTGGCTGTCTAAATCAGGGTGAAGCTGTTAACCTTCCTCCCAGTTTTCCCCCAAGCTCTTATAGCTTTAGCCTTAAACTCAGGCTACATCTAAAAGTATTATAATACAGATTGCAGCCTCTCCTGCAGCCCATGCTGGCTCAGTTCAAAACAGTTCCCCAGATAAATGTTAACATTTAACATAGGTTTAGCTCCCGGTGGCTTAAGTCTCCTCATTTCTTTCTCTGGCTGTCTATTTACTGATCATCTGTTTCCCTCTGCCTTTTGAATATTTCATTACCTTACATACAGCCTCTATCCTAGTTTCTCAGTGTATAGTCCTCTATATGTTCCTCCAAATTCTGGAAAAGCAGAATATTCTTTGAGATATCTAAATGTCTGGATAATAGTAGGAGGGAAACACTTTGGAGAAAGATTTGCAGTACAAGACTGTTCCCTATTATGGCCTAAAATATGTGTAATTATACTATGAAGTTTTAAAACGGAATAAAACCGTGGATGTTTTTATCTATGGTGTAAAATTGTTATCTGTCTAGGAGCCATTAAAAACTAATTTCTGTAAAAATACGTTTTGTTTTTGTTTTTTAATCTAGTATATCTCCTATTTTAAGAGAATTTAATCAGTTGAAAACAATATATATAAACATGTTATAGAGAATGTCATCAAGATTTAATTTAGTATTCCAGAATGCCTGTTTTATTGTATTTAAATATTTGAGTGTTTAGTCAGGAGGTTGTTTCTGTAGAGATGAGTACTTGAGAGATTATCGAAGATGCAGCTAACATTTTAATGCCCTTTCCATCATCACTGAAGCACCACTAAAAAACACTTGACTAAAAGTGTTATGTTCTTTTGTTAAAAAATGCAAATGAATTCAAAGTGAAGCAGCAGCAACATGACGGGATGTTAATAACCGTACTTACACTGTATTCCTTAGATGACTTGCAGTGTTGATTTTTTTTTTAGAGGAAACATCCATCCATCCATTATCTGACACGCTTGTCCCAATTGGGGTCGCGAGGGGTGCTGGTGCCTCTCTCCAGCTGTCTACGGGCGAGAGGCAGGGTACACCCTGGGCAGGTCGGCAGTCCATCGCAGGGCAACACAGAGACACACAGGACAAACAACCATTCACACACAGTACAGTCCTGCAGCTGTCGTATCCTCATAAGTCAAATTGTCATTGAATAGATTACTTTAGGTGAGGAAGGTTGCTCAGACCCAGTGAAATCAAACCTTAGACTGAGACAGAACCCACCAAACATTTTTTGTTTAATCCTGACAGTTGTTCAGAGACGATCTTCTTAAAATGCATTTGTAAGGACAAGCAGATTGGTTGAAGAAATATATGGAGCCCATTGTATATTTTTGGAAGGTGTCAGATGTTTTGTCACTTTTCTGCTAATAATGTAGGTGTATGATGCTCTATTTGTCAGGAGATTTATTAAGTACATTCTGTAAGCATATGTGATTAAAATTTATAGGAAACTTGCTGCTACTATATGTTTCCTATCACAAATCGACAAGACCTAAACTAAAGACAGAGCTCTAAATTTAACCAACAGTTTTTTTTCTCCATTGTTCCAGTTTTAAAGGTGGGTTGCTGCGCCTCTTAATGATTGCTCCATATACTCCTGTGGATGTAAAAGGGTAAGATAAGAGGACATGATCTTTTAGACTTTAAATGTATTGTAATTATTTTTATTTTGGTTAGAAAATGGCTTACACAAATGAACTTAGTTGCCAAATCCGCCCCATATGTGCAGTCAGAAGAGTTACTAAATTGTTTCAAACAGCCGGAACTGAGACAAAGCAGAAGGAGTGAAGCTTATGGCTTTCTGCAATATTAAAAAGGCATCACCTCCTCAGCTCATCCTGAATGGAAAGCATTTAGTCACTCTTGGTACCAACCCCTAAGGAAAGTACTTATTTTGTAAGAGAGACTTGGATTCAAATATGTAATGTTTCCATCCACAGTTCATATAAAAATTAACTGTATAAACCGTAACACTGAT